CGATAAAAACGACAAAAACACCCTCGTGCAATTTCTTGCCCATCTCTGGGCTGCGGAGACGCAAGCGGTTCTGCGTGCCAACACGCACTTTCAAATGGGAGGCATACGCTTTGTTCAATTAGAGGACCTGATCCTGAAACCTCGCAAAACCGCAGAGGAACTTTTTCGCTACATAGGTGTTCCTCTTTCGCCAGCTGCTGAACATCGCCTTCTTACAGTCGTTCGGACTGAGCAATTTGCTTTGGGTTCCTCGCAAGAATTGATTGGCTCCAAAATGGTAGAGGTCTGGAAACAAGAACTGAGTGAAGTGGACGTCGCAAGAATTGAGGAAATTTGCTCTGATGTAATGAAAAAACTTCGATATTATTCACTAGGTTAGGTGGTACAAAAAAACGTGTGAATGTGTCATTAAGACATATTGTTCAGCAAGACAATTTGTTTGCACCAAACCTCTCTAGCTTTCAACCCAAGAGTACACATTTGCACCAGCAAACTGCCAGGGAAAGATTACAAAGGCCTGGGGTCACCCAAAAAATTGACTGTTGTGCCATCCACAGGGATGATACTCTCAGTTATTCCGTTCTACTGAAAATGGGATAAGTTCTGGCCAGACAGGTCTTCTAACCAGCCACCTGAAAAGATTCATTTTACCCGATAGTTTTTTTACCTTGTTAAAAAAGACTTGGCCGTGCTTAGTTTTGTCGGTGAAACCAAGATTTATTTAAAAGATCTCTTCCTTCCCTTTTTTTAAATGTTACTGTATTTAAAACGCGAATTAAAAAAATGTCAGCCAACATAAAGAATAGGAACTAATAGTATTTCCAAGAGACGACGTTTCCAATGGTTACGGTCGCTTTTTTTTCCCCTTTCTTTCTCTTTTTCTTTCCCAGCCCCCATCCTAAGTACTTAACCCTTTAACCCGCATGAGTGACCAAGACAGAATTTCTCCTTACACTATCAATACAATATCAACCAGACAAGTTATAAGAATAAAGAAAACCATCAGTTTGGAGGTAATAAGTGGATCCAATACCAAATTTTCTGAACTAGCATTATAAGAATTGTATGCATGAGGGGCTTTGGCCCCGAAGAAAATTCGCAGCATGCATTCTACGGAGGCGCTATATTTCTGTCATCAGTGTAGAGAATTACATTAACGCTTGCGGTCGGTAGTTGTCTATGCGGTTGCTTAAACCTGTTGATTATAAGTTAAAGGTTCACCTAACAATTAATACTTCATCTATGCTCGAATTTCAATTACGAAAACACAATAAATCTTGCATTGGAATCACTTGGCGCGATCTCATCATGGAGGCCGAAGTCTTCGATCGATCGGCTAAGTTTTCTATAGTTACGGGATCCAATCTCGACCCCAAAAAGTACTAGTATGTGCTAACGAAAAGTTAATGTGAAATCAGTCCGAATGCTTTTGCAAAGAACGAATTGTTTCGTCGATTCCGCGATGACTACAATACGTTCTGCCCCGCCAGCAGGTCTAAAGCGCGTTAACAAAGGCTGTTCGTTCAACGCCAGGTAACCAAACAACATGTATGTGATATCTTCAATTGGTCTCTGTGCCGGACAGATTAGACAGGGAGAATTCCTGCAGATGGATTCGCGAGGTCTCAAAATATAATCCTATTGTTGATGCGGTAAATCAAATCGCTCTTGACCGTACACTTTAAGCGGGAAATGCCTCCAGTCGAAAAATCATGGGAAATTGCGAAGATGTCAGTCAAGAATAGCCGAGCTTGACAACGATATTCGGGAACTAGTAAAGGATAATAATTATATAAGTTAACGGTGGATGCCTCAACTTTCAGTCAAAAGAAAGAGTTCAGACAAAGAGCGGTCTCCTGATATAAATTACTGTGAATTCAATTTTTCGTGACCTCTTGGGTAGTGTATACCTGAGTGTTATTTTTAACCTCATCTTAGCCCTCCTTACACGGCAGACGCGTAAGACGATATTCATACGTGTAAATTTGTTCCCAGTGACCTAAAATGCAATAACGATGTTTTAGACCAGCTTCTCCCCAGTTATAGTCGATTTTGGCAAGAGTGATGTCTTCGGAAAAGTTAAAAATGCCGTTCCAAAACCTTCGCACACAAAAGATCATTATAGGATTAGTTGCATTGCGCCGAAGCTTGTAGACCGAACGGTTGAAAGCGATGTGATTATCTAATAATATGACAGTAAGGAGAATTACAAATTTGGTCTGGGAGTTAAAAGGTTAAGAATGTCAAAATACACCATACTTTTTAAAATAAGAATAAGGAAAAGAAAATAGACCACAAATTGAACCTTCTCCTAGCCTGTCCTCAAGCTAGAGCTTCTCTGACGAACGCATTGCACCTACAGATCAAAAGGACTAGAAGAAGGAAAAAATCAAGATATTACACCCACAAACTCGCACGCGTATTCTATAATTAGGAAGCTAGAAATATTATTTACCCAGCGCAGGTACAATAAGAAATTGCCTTGAGGACTGTCACAACCAAGAGCGAGTAGCGTGGAAGCACCACAACGGCAATGAGGAAAGAAAATACTATTTATTATAAAGGTGGAAAATTTAAAAATCAGCGAACCAAATAAAAAAAGATAGTAATAAGCACAAAGGCTGGAATTACAATGACCGGCAGTTCTTTCGCACGGGAAGTTCAGTAGATTTGAATTCCTGCGCAGGTTCTTTGTTGGCTGTTAACCTTGTTATCTTTGCGAGTTTTCGTACAAACGAAGAAGGACAACCATTATAGACAAGTAATGATGACTAGTGTTTCTTTTCCTCAGAGATAACTGACGATTTCGTTGTGAGGTGTTTGGCTCGGTCGTATAGACTCTTAACAACACCACGCTTCACTGACTGAGGTTGGTGAGAGTCATAGGCTAAGTACTGGTCAGTGTGGGTGGGCTTTCTGTAGACAGTCTGAGTCCCTTGTAACTGTTGTGTCGAGAAAAGGAATGGTGTTATCTTTCTCGATTTTCATGGAAAAACGAATAGCAGGCTATTGAATTTTTAGATATTGCAAAAAGCCGTCGACATGGTCCCGGTCTAAGACTGTGAAAGTGTCATCTACACATCGTTTCCAGATCTTAGTTTACAACATCTAAACAGTTAACAGCCTACTATTCTTTTTACCATGGAAATCGAGAAAGATAATACCATTCCTTCTCTTGTAAAACACATGAAGGGTGTATCATAGGTTCTTCGCCGCTGCCTACAACATCAAGGCATACGGACCGTTTTCGAGTCTTGCAAAACATTTCGGTCTCACTTAGTACGATCTAAAGACGCTCTATCCACATCAAAAGTGACTCTATCGTAAGACAAACGAATAAAGTTCGTCTCCTGTACATACATTGTTTTAGGGAAGAAATTATATGTTAACAGCTGAAATAAAAAAGTGCCGCGGAAAAGAACTAAACAAAGCAAATTTTATGGAGCAGTTACTGTTTGAAGCGTCATGAATAATCCGTGACCTTGGGTGGATACTAAAATGGATCTCACGCAAGCTTTTGCAGCAAAGCGACGGTTATGTTCAGCATTAACTGAAAATCAAAACTTGTCGCTGGCTAATGAGAGGATATTTACATCTATACGGCGTAACAAAGACTTGCAGGCGTTGAAAGAACTGGACTTGAATTTAGTCTTTTACAGCGGTCAATGTTTCTCGTAAACTAAAAACAAATACATCTAAATGAAACTAACTTATAGACCTTATAGGAGAAATCAATTGCAATAGAGAAGCGATCGAAACAAAGGGCAATAAAACATAATTGTGTGTGAGGCAAAGTACAGGGTGATACATTTTGGGGGCGGAACACCGCACAAGAAGAATCTTATTATTGCATGGAAAACACTTAACAAACACATATGTCAACCTGAATAAAATGCCTTTGTATTGACTTTGGATGAAGATAAAATAGCAAAGATAGGTAACATGAATATTCATACTATTGTCTTAGTAACAAAGCGGTGTCGTAAATGAAACTCTAGAAAGAAAGTAACTGATTAAGAAACGTAACAGATGTTGTGGCCATTTCCACGCTCGTTACGCACTCCGGGCCCTCGAACCTTTTGCTTTTGCAGTCTTTTTTTAAGCCATACATTTAAGAAGTACAATATTCGGTTATCTGATTACTCACCACTGTGTTGTGACAAGTGTCACGCACTCCGCATTTATTTTAAGAGACCACTGTGTTGTGATAAGTGTCACGCACTCCGCATTTATTTTAAGAGAGTACAGTATTGCATTTCGCGAACAAAAGCTTATTGTATTTATTTTTCACATTATTTCTCTCTACTAGAAAAGACTACAACTAACTCTTACTAAAATGTGGTAAATTATAGCCGTACCATATTCCTCGACTTAAATCGTTGAGCACACTTGATATGAAATCGCGCATCCATCATATCGAATGAGATGTCTGAGTTTTCGGGGTTTTCAAGGTGTAAGGTTTCAAGAAACCCGCGTAAGGGAGAAATATTTTTATTACATTATTATTATTATTTTGTGGAAAAGAAGTTGAACTCAAAACAGACTTGTCCATGGCAAGTCTAGATGTCATGGTAGATTCTGAGTAACAATAATTACGGCTATGATTCAGTATTTCTAAGGTAGTTAGGTGACAATTCTTCCATTAGAATCTGAATAGGGAAATGCAAATCATGAACAAAGCTTCAGTCCCAACTTGAAATTACCAACGTAAATTATTTGGTCTCAATATTTTCAACGACAAGTGATATTACACAATTTAACAAGACTAATCTTCGTTGGTTTGTGAATGACAGCAGATCTTGCCGGGAAACCTAGAGTGAATGAATACAGGTTTTGGAAAGCTTTGACTGAAAGAAAAGGAATTTTGGAAAACTTTTAGAAGGGTCTCGTTTTCCCAGGAACACTCTGGACAACGTTCGCAAACCGCTGGAATGTAACACATTAACTCATGACACTGAAGGCGTCAGGGACATTACGGAGAGCGGATATCACAAGGATATCAAGACCTCTGACCCACGCTTTATGTAAATATTAGTGAGACTGGCTTATTGCCGATCGTGGAATGTCGTTCTCATCAAGAATTGTTCTAACAATTGTCGCTATTGTTTCTTGCGAAGCTTCCGCGAATGGCTTGGAACAGCTTCATCCATTCTTGTTTTTCAACGAGAAAGATATACCTAGTCTCCACGAACGCGCGCGAACTACTCACTCTGAAATATCTCAAAGGATCTACTTGGCCAGTCAAGAGATAACCAAAAGGCCTGAATATTATTTACCACCTAAAGATTGGGAAAGCTTCTCTAGTGCTTGGAACGAGTGTTATGGTAATGACCTTACTGCGTTAGCTTTCTATTGCGTTCTCAATCCAGAGGATCTCAAGGCGACAGAGCTTGCAATTCTGTTTATGGAGCGACTTTCCAATCTTCCCAACTGGCGCGTCGCCGATTCATTCCGTGACGATGTCCCCGTAGCCCACTCTTTAACCGGAATGGCGACCGCATATGACTTTCTGTACTCGCGTTTAAACGACACTCAAAGAACTAGGTTCTTACAGAATATAACGACAGTGACAGAGGAATTATACGAGAGATCTTTCAAGCTTTGGTGGGGGTCTTCTTATCTTCAAAATCACGTAGCCACAAACTATATGGCGATATTCAATGGCGCCTTGATTGTCGCCCGACACAAGTTGTTCGAGGGGGAGAAATGGTTGTCACGAGCTCACTTAATGTTAAGTAGAAACTTAGAGCTATTTAACTTCGTAGTGGACGGTTCCACTGACGAAGGAGTCGCCTATGGCACTTACACTACACGTTCACTAACGCAGTATGTGTTCCTTGCGTTACGCCACTTACGTGTAGACTTCACGCATTCCCCTTGGCTTAAAGAGCACGCGACGTTTCTTTACCATACGGTGCTCCCAGGGTTCAGAGAAACCGTTGGCTATGGCGACTCCAATCGGAACTGGTTTTACGGTCCAGAAAGCCAGCTAGTTTTCCTAGACAACCATGTTTTGAGAAGTGGCTTGGGAAATTGGCTGGCCAGACAGATTAGACAGCACAAGGTTCAAATGGCAGGAGTGAAAGTCTATAGTCAATCGGCGTCACACCAAAAAAGCATGCTCCACACAGAGTTCTTATTCTATAATCCTGACATTCAAGAGAGAGCACTACCCAACCCAAGCATGCCTCGACTCCACGTGTTCAGTGACTGGGGAGTGGTAACTTACGGGGGGGGATTGGACATATCTCCCGGTAATCATTTAGGCGGTCACTGGGGTAAGAAAAGAGCATTTCTTTCCTTGAAATGTGGGGTGCTTCACGGAAGAGCGATAAATTCTCTTGCCAGAGGAAAACGCGTTCGATCATGGCTACGAGGACGGAGAAGTTTTAACCCTGGCCATGAACAGCCGGACCAAGGATCATTTGTGTTTGCCCCAAATGGTGTACCTTTCATTACAGAGACCTATTACGCCTACAAGTACACTTTCCTTAATAATGCTCTAGTATTCGGTCCCTCTCAACAGTCATCTTGCTACAAACCCTTTGAGGGGCAGATAGGAGAATGCAGTAAGTGGATTAATTTTCAAACAATGGCAGCCTGGAGGGCCCAAGGAGATATTATATCTGCGTCAAGCGAAGATGATATGGTTTTTATAAGCGGAGAGATGAGTGGGTGGTATCGACAAGAACTGGGCCTTCTTAGTGTATATCGTTCCTTGATTATGTTGAATCCAAGCGTGCTCCTCGTGGTCGATCATATCGAACGCAAAATAGGAAGTCAAGCATCTGTTATGAGCGCCTTCTTTCATAACGTGGATCATCCCTTCATACTCAATGAGAGCATGTCCAAAACACCCCATGCTACCATTTCCATAGAGGGACTTTTGCACAGAGTTTACTGGTCAAACTTAGGGACCGACCAGAAGAGTTATGCCAGTTCGACAAATTACTCGTCAAGCTTCCATTCCTTTCGAACACATTATCTAAATATAACAACGCCCTTGAACGTGCGATATACACGGACTGCGTACTTATTTCTCGGTCCTGGACATAGAGTAGACCAACTCCCACGAGTAGTAACTGGGCATGATCACGGAGTGAAGGTCTCAGTGATAGTGAATGGAGTTCGTTACCATGTTTCCATAGCAACAAAGCATAATCAACCTTACTCTAGATATGAGTTCTTGGAATTTGGAGGATATTGCAAGGTTGAAGTTAGCGAGAAGAGATCCAGGACTGTGCGTTTCGGTTTGGATGTCATGTCATCTGCAGAGGAGGAAGTTTTAATATTAACCCTGAGTGAGACTAACTCGCATACAACTTGGAATGTTTTATCCTCCTTGTTTCTGCCATTCATTGTTTCTATTGTGTTGCTATATCTCTATTTACAGCTTCGAAAAAAGATGTTTCGACAAACTCTCTGTGATATGTTCGTGATTTGTCTTGGGATGTCATGGTTAATAACAATAATGGCTGTTCATATCAGTTTTTGTGTTGGTGAAGTATGTGACTTAAAAATACCCAATGCGATTGAAAGTTCCCGCGAAAGTCGTGTTCTCTCCGAAGTACAAGAGGTTCCACCGTTTGTGTTATTCACATCTCTACCTCTAGCAGGCGCGGAAATACTAAGACACATGTTTAAAAACTCTTCGAATTTCTTCAATGTAGAGGTTGGGAGAGGTGCAAAGTTTTTGGATCCGTGTTCTACTTTTCATCGTTTTCACCATTCGTCTGAAACGCTTCGGGATCGAAAATGGTTTCGTGGTCTTGCTAAAGACCCGAAACGAGTTTTACCAAAATTACCCCATAAGCTTCACAAGGCTCTTCCAGTTGTCCGACTGTCGGATCCCGCGTGGGGTTTGAAGTTTTCGTGGTTATCAAAGATCGTGGAGGAGAGAATGCGTGCCATAGTCGTGGTTAGGGACCCGAGAGGGTGGGTGAACGCGTGGCTTCGAGAAATTCGCGTGGATACTGAACTTCGCGCTGCTGTCCACGCCGCCTTTGATACAGTTAAGAATCTCAAGTGCTCAGAGAGGAATATGTCAAATTTTGCCCCTGAATTCTTTGAAATGCAGCAAGCACTCAAGGATCATAGCGATAAAAACGACAAAAACACCCTCGTGCAATTTCTTGCCCATCTCTGGGCCGCGCAGACGCAAGCGATTCTGCGTGCCAACGCGCACTTTCAAATGGGAGGCATACGCTTTGTTCAATTAGAGGATTTGGTCCTAAAACCTCGCAAAACCGCAGAGGAACTTTCTCGCTTTGTAGGTGTGCCGCTTTCGCCAGCTACTGAACATCGTCTACTTACAGTCGTTCGGACTGAGCAATTTGGTTTGGGTTCCTCGAGGGAATTGATCGGCTCCAGAATGGTCACGGCCTGGGAACAAGAACTGAGTGCTGAAAACATCGTGAGAATTGAGGAAATTTGCTCTGAAGTAATGAAAAAACTTCGATATGATTTACCAGATTAGGTAATGCAAATCAGAAATAAGAGAATAAGAATGCTGTATAACCAGTAAATATCTAAAGCCGATAAAATCAAAACAGCTTACACAGAGCGAAATTGAAGAATTTAGGTTTAAGTTTTAAAAATGGAAAGACCGTGAATAAAATCCTTTCATCAGAAAGTTAAACAGTGTATTACCTTACTTTTTAAATTCTGCCATGTTGGCAGATGTGTTTCATATGATCTGGGGAATCAGTGTGTTCGGTTGCCAGATCTGTAATGTAGGGCGTTAGGTCTCTCTGGACTGCGATCGTAGAAGGGTTTTCTCTTTTGGTCTCTTTCAAGCAGCGGAAAGAAGCGACAACAGAAAATATGTCTGCTTTCGTGGGCTGATGTCTTTCAAAAATCTTGAGTTGAGTTACAATCGGTATAGCCGATGTTTTCAAATTGTTCATTGTGCGGAAGTTCTTGAAGTTTAGGCTCTATAGGACCACGAAGGTGTATCTGATGATTGTTTTCAATATCAGACATGACGGAAGAATCGGCTTGAATAGCTTGGAAATCCGTGAGGTTTTGTTTCTTATTGCTCACCCCAATGTGTTGGATAAATAACTTTTCACTTACCGAGAGGTGAGTGATCCTTTTAATTCAATCATTGACTTTTTAAAGCTGTTTTTAGAACATTTCCTTATCCTCTCTTATGAATCCCGCAACGGTATTGATCTTAAATCCAATTTACACAGAAAGACCTTCTAGAGGGCGTTTGGTATTCAGTTAATTGCATAATTTACCATAGCAACAATTCTTTTACCTTGAGCTTATCAGTTTCCGAAATACCAAGGCCATTCAAGCACCTGAAGGGAAATGATAAATTGCAAGGCCCAGTTGTTCGAAGGCCGATTAGCGCTAACTCAGGGGTAAATTTTCATCCAGGTTTCTTTATTCCTTTGTTCAAAAACCTTTCAGAGACAATTTTCCCTATTCTCGCTAGAACATCCAGTGATTAAATTGCAAGCAAAAAGATTTGAACTGCATTTTTTTTTAAAGCTTCCAGACCTGAAATCAACTTTCAGACTGACCCTGCGTTTTCTAAACTCAGCTTTGAACAACCCAGGCCTGGTGACTAGAATAGGCCCTTAGAATGGTTGGCAATGAGATATTGATCAGCCTCTTCACTGAACTGCTGATCAAAACGTTGAAGCCGATCGCACAGGATAAGGATGACCGTCTTTTCCCTTTTTTTTTTTTTTTATTTTTTAAAATTTTTTTAAAGGAAGGTTAGCTTACCCTGGAATGATTCACTTCAATTGCCCTCTACTTCACAGATCACAGTCACCTGGATTTAGTCGCTTTTTTCCCCGCCCTTGCCTTTATTCAGTACTTCTCATTTTCTAACTGTGAGTCTGATTATACAAGCTTACTAGCTCACTGATCTAAGTGGTGGCTGGGTTTTTCCAAAAGTTTGCTTTCCCGGGGCGAGAGAGGCACCATGGGAGTAAAGGATCCTATAGAAGGACATGTGACTATGATATAACGGTTATGAGTTTCCCAACAGCGTCGTAATTTGTCGATCGTCAAGTTTCTTTCTCGCCTTTACAGTAAACCAATCAGTCTAAGATAACAGAGCCGAAAGAAGGCGAGACGTTTAAATTCAATCATATCCAGCTTACTTAAATTATATCCACACGGATTTACTTTTTGATATTGAACTTCCTGTTTTTGCGATGACGAGTTTCGTCAATTATTAATTTTTGCATTTCATTTTCGGCTGTGTAATGAATCCTTTTTTTACGGGTCTAGCCTCGTAATTTCTGCTTCCGTTTGTTCCTTAACATTTTCTTGTTCTGTAAAAGTGAAAAAAAAGCAAATAAACAAAAGAACCAAAAAACAAAACAAAACAAAAAAAAATCGACGATATCCGGTCATGTTGACCTCACGTGTAGACAGCAGCAGACGTATATTTCTCACATATTGCACGGCCAGTGAGGGTGTTTATTTTCGATTATATCACTCATGTCGAAAATTCTTAAATATTAAATGAAGAACACTGCTTACGAGGCACGAAAAATGAAGACTGGTGTACACGTTGATGGCACAAGTTGGTGACGTATGTCGATTCATAGCGGTCTAGCACGTGAGAATAAGAGGCCAGATGGAAGAGAATGATAGTCAGCTGATCATCTGAAGCCATGGTCTAAATTGAGGGTCGATGGAAAAAGAAAAGAAAAAAAAGAGAGAAACACAAATCGAAAACTCGTGACTTAGGGACACGCGGCATAGTCTCGTGCGTGTAGTGTGGCGAGTTTTTCATCTCCACTGAATTTTTTCCTTTCGATAGATCAGTCAGTAGTAAGGTTGAATTAAATTTTTTCAACTTCAGCTCAACAAATGTTTCTGTTTGGACTTCTTATCAAAGAAAATGACATTTTAGGCAATTCAGTCTGGATTAGTCTAGACGAAGTACGAGAAACTGAAAGGAGGAAAGGGAAATTGAAGGACTGTTCACGATTGGTCGCCATCTTGTGGCGTGACGAAAAGAAACATCCCATCAGGCAGTGCGGCCAAACTCCTTAGCAGTTTCCAAACAAAAACATCGTGATTAGGAACCATGAAGGCCGAGGAGAGAATAGTCTCATTTTCTCTATCTGAGAATATCATGTAAACGTTCTCTCTTGGTGCTGCTAGGGCAGCTTAGGCTCTTTGGAAATTTTTGACGCGATTGAATATTATGGGAGCGAAGCAATCCAGCCACAATGGGCGAACAAACGCACGCAACGTCGGCAACGGAGCTGTTGCGACCGCCGGCTTACCAGAGACTTCAAGGGTTGTTGCGCTGGATCCGAGAATACGAACTCGTTCATTAAACAATGTTGGACATTCTTTATCGATTCCTGGCCATTCGGCTTCCTTTCAGGAGTCTGATTTGTCTTCTTCGCCAGAGGATAACTCTCCGTCGCCGCGAGGACTTGCCCTGCAGGGAGCGCACTCGCTCCCTTCGCATTTGTTCGCTTACACTACGTTTTTAAACGGTAAGATCAAATATATTGTCCTTTCCTCCGGGATTGGCTAGTATTTAACCAAATGCGATAATCAGTCGGGTAGTTGGGTGAAGTGAGACTATTTACTTACAGGTTAAAGTCTAATCTTGTCGTTTTAACGATTCGTGCAGTTTGAACGCGACCATATTTTGTGATTAAATTTTCTTTGTAGGGGTGAAATGTCCCGTCTGCTCGAAAGTAATTTTGGCTGAAGATATTGAGCTTCATCTGGTAATTTGCCTCACCAAGCCTCGAATTACGTACAACGGTAAGTTTTTAATGAATTCTGATTCGTCTGATCTCAAACATGTTAAAAACTGCGTTCATAAAGTTAACTCTTGTCCGGCACGGGAACCTTGGATCAATTTGTTGTCTCATACTGTCAGCTGAAATCTCTTTCCACTTCAGAATTCTAATTTGTGGGTTCGGGCGGAAGAATGGTTCATACAGTATTTCTATATTCCACATAAACCTTGGCAATAAATATTTCTTTTTAGAAACAAACAAAGAATTTTTGTCCGAATTTGAAAAGAATTCGTCTTTTTCTTTGTATATTCAATTTGATACAGTTCAAACTCGATGATGACATAACGATGGTTTCTGGATTGCACGATTATTTAAACTATCCATCTTTCTCGGTCAGCACGGTCATTGAAGAGGCTTGTCCATAAAAATATGAGAATTGTTCCTATTTTCAACGCAGGTGAATTCATTTATGCCGGGCGATCGTTGATGAGTTTTGTCAATTTTTTGTCATTTTTGTGTTATAGTATAATATGGAACCTTCCAGCGAGTGGTAAAATCATTCAAATTTTTCCCACAACCAAAGAAATATGAAAAGTGATATTGTAACGTATGTAACTTTCGTTGTTTGGTACAGGTTTAACTTTTATGGCTATTTTCTTAGTGTAAATTTTCCTACGGCACACATTATATTTTGAACACTTCATTTACATATTGATGAAGCCAATCGCGTTTCATTTTTTCCTAATTGCAAAATTTACACTCTCTAAAATTATTGATTATTTGTTTCAGAGATATCACATTATCTCCTATTCTCGATGTTTCGATTTTACTTTGTGAATTTGTAATTTTGTAATATTTTATTATATTCCTGAACAAACACGAAATAGCTTGTTATTCAGCGTCAGTACATGTTCTATTTTATTTTCCTTTGATCAAATGGCTGTGTTTTGGAAGTTTTACTTGTTGCCCCAAAATCTGATTCATGCCCTGAATTCGTGGCGGTGCAATTTTTATAGATAACAATTGTCAAAGGTGCACTTCAAGACATCTCTTTTTTTATATCTTTTTTCCAATTTTTTTTATCTTTAAAGCTCTTTTCATGATAGACAGTCCAGGTACATGAGCTATTAAAAGTTTTCTGAGATAACGTCATGCAAAAATAGTCTGCTTGGGCATGTGTGCACATGACGTTGTACATTGCAATAACTGATATAAGAGTAACCTTTGAATCAAGAATTGAGCCATGAAATGTTATCCTTTGTCAGACTAAGATAAAACCCATTTCCTACAGTCATAATAGAAGTCGATTAATACTGATAGCTGTGGTTTGTTTGGGTTACTGAAAAATACTGGGAAATGCAGTAGCAGGAGATTGGTCCAAAGAACAAGAGAACTTTCTCCAAATCTGAACAAACAGTAGCTGAAACTGTTGACATGTTGCCAAAAAATTTTGTGACCTCGCTGGAGAATTCTCTGCCCCCAGATAATTACCAAACCAAGTAAAGTTATACAAGTCACATTCAAAGCCTGTCCCTTCGTAAATGGATGTTTATATTGATTATGCTGATAGGTGTCGAACCAGACAATGCAGTAATATGTCCACATCACAAATTAGCTACAGTAGAATTTGCTACTCAAACTACTCACTGAGATGGAAAACTACTAAAGATAAAGGGTAGTTTGCATTAGCTTGTTGCCTATGTCTTAAATTTTTTCACAGTAAATGGTATCAGTCTTGATTCTACAGAAATCGTGTTCCAAGCTTGGGTTAGCAAAATTCCACTGTATCTTACATTATTAGGATCATGTGAGTTTAAAAGAGTAAACCGGTCTTTTATAGATTTTCTGAAAAAAATAATCTTCCCATATGACTTGGTAGTGAAAACTTTGGTTTCCAGCATTTAATTCCTGTTCTGCTTTGGAAATCCTCCATCTTATTTACTTTTCAGAATAAAGGTTTGTGTGACTCTTCTGTTTGTTATTGTCACATTGGAAAAAGATGTATTTGGCTCAGTGTTTTAGACTTAAGTTGATAATTTGAGAGGAAACCTTAGGGTTGATAGCGTCCGGAATTTTGACTTGATTATTGTCAACTGCAGCAGTTATTGATCAATTAGTAAGCTACTTTGACTTGGAGGTCAAAAAATTGAGTCTTTGATTTCAGGATGTGTTACTGAGAATGTAATCTTGGTTTTTATCTGACTTACTAACATTATAGAATCTAAAATCACAAGCCAGGATTATGATGTGTTTACCAGACCTTCAGCTGCTAGAGATTTTACAAAATCAACCATGTAGGATGTGCTTGATGTGATGGGCTACTTCATTTTTATTTAACATAGAGCCATTTTTAAGTTCCTCATTTCATATTTAGTGACTTAAATACGGCAACTTGGAGAACTGATTTGTGTATGGAATTAATTTAACCTCGGAAAAATTGTCTATTGAGCACTCCAAAGTTACAAAATGTGTCATTATGTCATTATTATTATTATTATTTCAATACTATACATTTGCTGGTTTGTGGTATGTAACTTCTCATTTTTGTGGCAAAACTAGACAGATGATCATTTTCATTCTTCTCAAAGGACAAGTATCCTCTAGAGCCTTATGGTTTTATCTTACCCTTTAAAAGTAGAGTGTGAAATTAAGACTCTGAATGCATCTTGACAGTCCACAGGGTAACCAAAGTTTTTAAAAATTATCTGCAAATATGTTGAAAATGTAACTATGGATGCCACTATTTTAAATTTGGCTTAGTAGTGGCATTACTGTTAACCTGTAATATGTCAGACCCCAGCATACTAAGCCACTGCACTCAAACCTAATCACAGATTGTTGTTGAACAGTCATATTGAGTGGTTCATTTTTCTCCTTTCAGAAAACTGCATTGCTTGTTTGATAATTTAAGGTATTGAGGGGTGTAGAGTATTGGTAGATTTTAAATTCTGCTAATTTATTGACTTCGACTAGGGATAAGATTTATTCTGAACATGAATTCATTAATCTCTCTTTAGAGGATGTGCTTAAACAAGACAATGGAGAGTGTGTCATATGTTTTGAAGACTTGAGTATAGGTATGAGATGTTTCTTGTAAACTGCAAATCAATTGTGTTTAGAAATCATTCATTTTACCAGTAAAATGAAGATAGCCTTTTATAAGGCTCTGTTAAAAATAAGCAGCTATGCAGTAGCGATTTGAAGGCTATTTATCTCTTTGTGGAACATAAAGACTATTGAAATAATAACTTTGTCAATCCTCTGTTAGTCCTGTTCATTATCATCCCAGTCAATAGCAATGTCCTGTTTGTCTTCTTTGAAGTGACTGTTGTCTGTCCAGTATTCCACTTTTGTTATAAATTTTGTTAAAGAATTGGCTGGGAAAGCAGACTTCAGCACTGGGTTCTGGTAACAAAGTGTAATCCTTTCATTTTCAAGATATGAAGACTGATTCCCCCAACTGACGAGTGAATAGCTGTAGGCTTCATTTTCAGCAACATGTATTCATGAGAATTTTGAGTTAAATACCAACAGGTTTTCTCCTAATTTTTAAACTACATTTGCTTTATACTTGTCACAAAATTATGACAAGAATATGACCATTTTAGGGAGTGAAAGGGTTGAATTTTCAGAGGTGTAGTGTGTAGCATGAAAAAATAGTTTTGGCATCAATTTCCTCAGAAAACAATTTCTGTATATCTTTCTTTGTTAATGCATTTGTTTATTTATTTACTTATGTTTCTGGCAGGTGATACTATAGCAAGGCTGCCTTGTTTGTGTGTATATCATAAGAGGTACACCATGTTTTTCTTGAGAAGTATAATAGTAATTTATGTCAGGTATTAGGCTAATGGAAAAAGGCACATGTTATTCCAACAATTTTTCTTGTTGTGAATTAAGAACAAAGATACTTCTATGAATGTAAGATTTCTGTAAGAATATTTCTCAATTCTTTTTTTTTCCATTTATCCTTTTACTCCCAAGATCTGATTGATCATTTTCTCTCCCCCCCTCCCCCCAGCTGCTTCACATTTCTGAGTAAATTATTTATGAGGATTTGGTGTTATATCAAGTGAAACACTTGGATCTGATAAGTTTTAGTGTTCTCAATACCTGCTTTCTAGATAATGTGTGGATATTCCTCTTCATGTTATACTCACTTTCTGTCTGTCTTTTTTTGCTTTGTTTTACAGTTGTATTGACAATTGGTTCCAGGTGAACAGGTCATGTCCTGAACATCCAACAAATTAGTAATGTGAGTTTTATTTAACAATTGGTTCATACTTAGGGTGTGTACATGGAGCTAAGGATGCACACGGGAAGTTTAGTGAGCATGAGAGAAGCATATGAGCTACTTGTTGGGGTCATTTGTGATGTTCACTTTGGGAAAACAGTGCCTACATGTAATCCTTGCTTCAGGGTATCAAAAGGTTCTAGCAAACTCTCTTTCTTCCCCTGGTGTGTGTCCTTAAAAAGGTTTGATGAAATTGAGAAAGTGTGGAGTCAGATTCATGAATTAATGAAAAGAGTAGGCAATGGCTGCCAGCCATACTTTTGAATGCCCAAATGTATTTATTTAGTACTGTTGTGTGAAGCTTGCTTTTCTTGTAATCATTCTGCTCAAGGTAACTGGCCCTATCAGACATCTCAACATATGTCTGGGTGATGGAGACAATCTTAGAAATACTCTGAAATAATAAAAATTATATGACCCTCTGAGCAAGGAGATACCTAATCACAAACTTGGCCATCATGTGATTTGAGGTGTGGGAATTGATGCTGGATCATGGTGGCAGAAAGTGAGCCCCTTTGCTACCGTGACATAAAAGTTTGTACTTGTTAGCAACATAGCAAATTAAAGGTAGTCTCCTGCATTTGAAAATAACTACAGTAATATAAGTAATTTTTTGCTTAAAGTGATATATATTTTTTTCTAGGCTATGCACGTTCCTCAAGAATTTGCAGAATATAACAAGTTTACAGTAGCTTAGGTATTGTGGTGTTTTCAAACAGCATTGGAATTTGGACCATTAGGAGAAGAAGCTGATTTGCTGTTTATTGAAAGTAGTGCCTTTCTCATAGATGATTTTTTTTGTTATTGAAACCTGTGCTGAAGGCAATCCAGTTCAACCTCAATCCCATGGCAGCAAAATGTTTTGGCAACATTTTTGATTAATGGGGAGCACTTAATTTGGTTTCTTAAATTAACTCTGGGAGTGTTCTACAACTGTGTGCTACAAGAGGCCTTTTGTAGGAAAGGTGGAAAGCAAATAATATATTTTCTGGACTACAACTAAAACATGTTTTTTAGAATACTTTCAACTTTTAAGAAATAGAAGACTGTTTCCTTGTTTTATAAATTCAGTGGATAAAATGTTGTGTATTATTGGTATTGCATGAGGTAGGCCCTTCACAAAATTATTAGATTAAATCATATCATTCACGAGTAGCACACAAAAAAAGTTGTTGTCTTGCTGTGTTGTGGTTTTGCAATAAGAACAGTGTTGTTGCTTTTTGGCTGTACAGCAGCTGAATATTATTTTAACATGTAGATGTATATGTAGATATATTTTAGTAACTATAATTGCTATTCTTATAGATTTAAAATTGATATGTGACACAATTCTATGATCAGGACTACCACTCATTTTGCTGTTCCCTGAAGAAAAGCTGGACAAAGTTTTAATTGAAATTTTTTTTAAAATTCCAAACATCCTCATGAGGCATTAAGATAGGTAACACTAGAAGGCCATTGCTACAAGGTACAAATTATCATCAGTTGGCAATATTTTCAGGTTATATTTCTTTGGCTATATCTGATCATTTGTTGCTTCTCAGGTGCAATTATAAATGCCATTTGTTTCATCTGTTATGTACAATTTCTATTTTATTTCACGTTACGCTTCATCAATCTGTGATTTTTAAACAATTATAGAAAAAATTTCACTCTAAAGAATTTAAACAATGCTGAGTAGAGGTAAAATTGTTGAATTTTTTCCTGTTGATTTATTAATTACAGAACATGTATTTTATTTTTGTATTTAAAACATTGTTTTTAAAAAAATCCCCAATGAATACCCCTTTGACCACTGAGATTGACTGGCATCTCCCTACAATATCACCCCTGAATCAGACATTAAAGTAACAAGAGTGAAAGAAATCGTCACCATGTAAGGGAGCTCTTGATTTTTAAACAAATTCTCCTTGTCAGCACCTTAGGAAATGTATGTAGAATAGTATGGAGAATATATACAATGATGTTAGGGTGTGAAGGGTTAAGGAACTAAACATGGTGGTACCTGTACAAGGAGCTTTGAAGAAAAAGCAATAAGTAGCAATAGGTCTGATGCTTTGGACTTGAATGGCATACTTAGCAAGCTTCTTCAGGGTGAAACACTAAGAAAAGGGGTTAGTTTTTAAGGGGCAATAGCATAAGTATTTCTCAAACTGGAAAACTACTATAAGCTGAAATGGCAAGGCTTAAGAAAAAACAAAGAAATGTTTAAAAATCCCAAACTGAATGTCATAAAATAGGAAAGCTAAAAATTGCAATTTATTATGAAAGTAAAGATATGAAGTGTGTTATAGCTCACCAAAGCTGAAGAACTCTTCGCCCCATAGCCTGGTTCACAGAAATGTTAAGGTCACTTTCTGCACTCCTGCCATAAGAAAGTAAATTTTGACTGTCCAAGAATCTTGCTTTGTGCTTCTACTCTCCAGTCATCCTGTGCCTTAGCTTCAGCAATTGTTTAACAGGTCATGTTATCTCTTTGCTTTGTTATTCCACTTCAATATTTCACTAGTTGTTTAAATAGGTCGCGTAAAGCATTGCATGCAATGAGTTGACCATTGAAATATAAAGAATTTGCAATATCATTTGAAATTTCCTTTTCTCTCCAGTGATTCCTCTCTCTTCAGATACAATGGTTGAAATATGTTCTTGAGTAATTTTCTCTTTGTTTTACAATACAGTTCACATTATTTTGGATTCATTCAGCGGGCTTCCTCTAAGATAGCTCATAGGGAAGTGAAGCACATTTCCTTGAGAGAATTAACCACAGTTTAATAAAGGAAGATGTAGTTGCTAAAGCTTACAACAAAAGCCTGGATCAGTTGATAAATATCTGTCAGTTAATAACGTGGTATAACTCATTCAGGATAATTGATAAAGTAAACCACCACAACAACCAAACTCAAACATTTCCGATTCATTCCACAGAGTTTAATGAAACGTCAAAGTATCTTTATCTCAGTACTGTGTATAGCAGAGAGGCTTTTTAATTTTAGCAGATATTTACTTGTATATAGTTAGACCCCAGATTTGTTGAGTGTTATCAACTAGTTATTGTACACTAAATAATGTACCTCGTGTAGGCATAATGCATTTAGTAACATGTTTTAAAAGGTGCTTTTAAACGATGGTTAAATTATTGTGCAACCTCGTTAAATTTTCAGAAGATAATTAAAAATAATTGCTATTGCTTTGGCTTCTGGAATGTAAAAAATAAAGGAAACGTTTGAAAATGTTGTTGAGAGCTTTAAATTAACCAGACATTTATACTTAACAAGTTGTCAATGATTTCAATGACTGAGGATGAATTTCATTTTGAAGGAGTGGTCCTTGGTTTCCAAATAGTGGTGTGCGGCTCGGTTCTCCAAATCTTCACCTTTTTCATTTCAAAACATTCCTTTTTTTCACAACCGTTTTCCGTCCTGCTGACCTGAAGACCAGTTTTCAGATTTAGTTGAGTGCCACAACACTTTGTTACTCAATGAATTTTCGCATGATTGCTGCAAGTCGTCCCTTGTGAGCCAACTGGCCACTAGGAAAGTCGTAAATCTTTCTTAAGTCCTTAAAACCAATTTTGTGATGAGAAAAACTATTTTAATTTCCTCTGAGTTTCTGAAAGCAACCAGTTCGCGGAGCATGGGTGGTGGGGGAAGGGGGAAATGTCACAGAGCATCGAGCCTTTTCTCACTCTATACAAAATGATGTTGCCCCGAGCCCCCCCTTACACTAGACTGCGAACAGTCCTTCCTTTTTGCCTTAGTACTTCGCGCAGGTTAAAAAGAATCTGTTAACAAAAAAATGAAAAACGATGTCAGCAAACCGCGCGGAAATTTAGGAGCGACGCACTAGCATCAATATTTTTTTCTCACTAATTTTCTTTGACTCGCAAGGACTTTTATTCGATGAAAAGAAAGAACTGCTCGCAGTCTATCCTGACACTTACTCACAAAATTGACACAAAATTTATTCATTTCGTGGATTATCATAATTAAAGAATCGACAGAGGTCAGATGATCGTGCATTGTCGAGCACGGGTCAATGTTGCTGAACAGATGCATTTTCAATTCCACTAGAACCTTTCGTCTCCATTCCGGCAATAGCACACAAGATCTTCGCCTTTTTTGGGGGGTGTGTTGTTTGTCTACAAGTACGAAAACAAAGAAACAAAAACGTCATTTCAAGAGAGTATTTTTAGCCATACTCATCAAAAGGGAACTGGGTGGAATCCAATGAAATGTTACCCCTCTGTGGCCCCTTCCGCCATGAGCCTATGAAGAATTGGGCTTCTTTTATAAGAATTAATCAAAACTGTAACAAAAATTTCGAACGTGATTGGTTATCACCAGCCCGATTTGAGCACTTATAGGACAGTGTACGGGTCATGCTTGTAATTGGACATTGTAGAAGGACAGTTAAAGCGACAATTAACACGTCATGCCTGTGGAAGTGGAGAGAACGCGTTATGTGCGCTTTTGTCTGGCATTTCGCCGAGTTAACTAGGTGTTTTTTTATGAAAACGTACTGATGTCTAGTTTCTTTTCCGAATTTTGTCATAGTTTTGATTAGTTGTCGTCCAATTCTGTCTGTAATCATACTCGTGATGGAGAAATCGGACTCCCGCTTCGCGGCCGCCCGATTTGTTAATCACCCGTAAGATTACAGCCTGAATTGAACTCCACTCGGTCCATTAGTACTATAAATCAATACTTACGTCATAGCAGCTGCGTCAAGTCAGGCGGAGGACCAGTTCTTAACAGCCAGAAGTAAGTTCTGTTTAATTGGTAACCAATTCTCTCCGTGGAAAAGAATTCAACTGCTCTCATTATCCCAAAACGACTCAAAATTTTGTTACCACTAAAAATAACGCGAGGAGATTGGGGAGGGGGGGGGGAGTGCTCAATAAGGTTTTTCTCACCTTAACAGCTATTTACAACCATAGAGTTCGAATCTCATGGAGATGTACCGCTCCCATTCCATGGGAAGAACTCGAACGAAGCGAGCATCAATGACCGGGTTAAGATCGTGATACACAACTGTGTCCCTGTCTGTGTTTCCCAGGAAAACCTGCGTTAAGTGAAAAAAAAAAAACAAAAAACAAAAACGCGATCTAGATTCAGATACAACCGTCCTCAACTCGATTCTGACAATCATCATGATAAATTCTAATCATGGTGGTTTGGAACCAACACCTTGGTAAAACTAATCAACACCTTAGAGCTGTCCTATCATTGCTTAGGAAAAAGAGGACGTCCACAACCCGCTTGTATCCAAAGGGGGGGGGGGGGGGGGGGTTGGGGGCATGAGGTCTTAACGATATCCTTTCAAAATTTTCGAATGAACCTGAATCACTCACATCTCTTCGCTTCTGTTAAATTCAGAGCTTAGTGGTTTTAGAAATTTAAGATATTTGAACGTTTCCTCTGCCGAGGTATTTCTATTGTCGTTACAACAATTAATCCAGTAATACCAAGCCTTGTGTCCGTTGTTAATCAATCGCTCACTGTGTTTTTCTGGCTGCACGAAGATTTGAGCTAACGCTCGAGAAGTCAGCTTTTTTATCTCTTTACGGTGGCTAATTTACGTTTTCACCCTGGGTTAACACTAAATTAGGCTATGCCAGAACTCTTTCAGATCACTCGTAGGCTAGTGTTACACAAGACCACGTACTTTCCCACAAGTAAAGAAACGCATGCACCGAAGTACTAATGACAAGGGTCTGCTCGTAGGCTAGGTTTTTATGTAAATTATATATAAGGACGAATTTCATACTTTGTCCAAATTCTCTCCATAACTTGTGTAAAATCTGAAGGTCTTTCCATCATCGCCATATTGTAGTTTGTATTTCGTAATCCAATGGTTGAACCCAGATCTCCCTTGAGTCGCTATGCCTGTCACCCTCGTTGTTTTCAGCAAATCCACTTGAAACCACTGAGCAGTGTCTAGATATTGTGATAACCACCCCCCAGCCCTACCTCTGACCGGCGTGAAGTTTAACCTGCCATTACGCGCGCTGTATGCATAATCGTAACTTGACGAGGCGCTGATTTGCTGGTCAAGAATAACTCCGCTTTCCATGCCGAGTGGCACTTGGCACGCTGCATTGAAAAAAATGATGAAAATTATTTTTTAAACAAACTACCCAGCGTAAAGAATAACTCATTTGATAAAATTAAAATTATCCTGTTTCTTAGCCTAAACTTACCTATAATTCCCATAAAAGAGGCTCCTTTTCATTACTAACACGTCGTGCAAGTTTCATCGCACAGCAAAAAGTGCTCTCAAATACCAGCTTCTAGCTTGTTTGAAAACCCATCCTACTACTTTGTTTGAAAAAATTCTATCTAGAAAGTGTCATGGTTACTTCCTCGTTCCCATTCATCTCTCATTCGTCCTTAGAACCGCGCCAGAGGAGAGTATGACGGGAAGGCGGCGGGGCTCCGCCCACCAACCGTCAAGAGTCAGTCACTGTGATGTAAGATCTCGGTTTTTAGTCGAACTAAAACCTCGCTTTATATTTCCTCATTGTCCTACTTACTTTCGCAGTTGAACATTTTTAACGCGTCATTGAAAGTGCACGAGCCTGCATTAAAGCAGCCGGTCAGCTGACAGTCGTTCTGCAAACATGTGTAAATAATTCAGAATGAGAGTTATTGAGTCGAAATATTTTCGAATTGAATCCGATGATGACTGAA